GACTAGTGTACAGAACATACTAAATTTCAAATACAGCAATTTTAAATGTAAGTAACCTTAACCCTAAAAAAAAAATCTAATTTCATAACAATTCCAGAATTTAGTAATATTGTGAAAATGTTATTGTCAACCATTTTTACTGACTTTAACATTCACAATTTGAAAATTTGAGGGTGTATACTGAGGAAAGAATTTGTGAATGTTCACAAATATGTCAAAAATGAAGAATTAGAACATAATACTGAATTGGCTTCAACATGTGGATTCAGGCAGACCCCATGCAGCCACACTCTGGCACATGAAATATGGAACTCAATCTCCAACAGTCGGTTTGAAATGAACACCACATTCTACTTAGTAAGCAACCAAACCAATTGGCTCTTCCAACAATGATACAGAATCAAAACAATGATATATACATTTAATTCTAAACTAATGTCAGTCAGATTACTTGATATTTTGAAGAATTTAGTGGGCAGTGTTCATCCAGGCATCAACTAAACAATAGTGTAAATTACATTGATGCATGCCTGAATACAGTTCTCCCAGACTTCCACCCACTTTACCACTCAACAACTTTGCATGTGTTTTTCTTACTCCAAATCCTTTCATGAAAAGATTTTCCCTCCCACTTTTCAAGAATACTTGACATCGTCCAGACTGTTTCTACATAGCTTGCGGCACTCAACTCTCACACAAAAGAGCAATAACAAAGAAAATCCCAACTATATTCTCTCGCTATGTCCCATGTTTGTGCTGAAGTTAGTCAACATTAACATACTCAAATTGCATTGTGGGAGTCTCTAAGTCTATGTGAATGCGTGTACAGAAACATGTACATGTATCTTTCATTGTGGTGTTCCATTCCTCAGGATTAAATTTGGTATTCTGAAGAAATACATGAAATACTACATAAATAACTTCAGTAATACATGTACATGTATGAGGGGAATGGGGAAAAGTGTTCAGACAGGTTTTGATTTAATACCTTACTTAAGGTAGCGAGACTATTATTTGTGTTGAAAATTACGATTTTCACATTTATTTATTAATTGATGAAATGCACTATAAACTTTCATGTGATAAAGTCAACATAACATAGAATGTCATGTAAGTTGGTTAAAATGTAGATTTTCTGAAGGGAAGCAAAGCAGCCTCAGTAGTGTTTTCCAAAATCAATAACACCAGGTTTAATCTGTG